GCTCAGCACCCCCAGGCTCAGCACCCCCAGTGTCAGCACCCCCAGGCTCAGCACCCTCAGCAGCACCAGAGTCACTAGTGACCTCGACAGGCTCGACTGCGTCTACCTAGGACACACCTGAAGGGGACGGACCCTGAGGGGGGAGGGGGTCTACCGGAGGGGGACCTGGAACAAGGAAGAGCGGCGGCGGGGGGAGGGACTGAGTGCGGTACGGGAAGAGGCGGTAGTAGGGGACCGACTCGTCAAACGTGACGTCCTGGGAGGACAGAACACGGCGAGAGGTGGGGTGGTAGAACTGCCACCCAGGCGCGTCAGGGGGGAAGCGAAGGAAGACGCAAGGAGCAGCACGAAGGGACAGCTTGTCCGCAGACAAGTCGCGGACAAACGCCCGAGATCCCCAGACCCGGAACGCCGACGCATCGCCAACCTTCCCCGTCCACAGCAAGGCTGGGGAGGTCTCCGACCTGGAGACCCTGGGGTGTAGGTTGATCTGATGCGCCACGTACCTCACCGCAAACGGCCACAGAAAATGGGGAGCAGCCGCATGCATCATAGACGTACGAGCGACGTCCATGACCATGCCTATGCGGCGCTCAGCAATCCCATTTTGCTGCGGAGAGTCCGGAAGCGTGAAGGTCTGACGGATGCCTCGTGCGCGACAGTAGGCCCTCAAAAGGCTAGACGAAAACTCTCTGCCTCTGTCCGAGTGCAGACGCAGAACAGGAAAGTCCGAACCAAAGCTCTGCCTGAGCTGGAGACGAGCTGCGCGGATCCAGTCGATCAGCACCTCAGTGACATCACCCTTGCTGCGCAAGGGGAAGACTGCGGTGTAACGCGAGTAGTCGTCAACAACAAGCAGGAAGTAACGCTCGTGACCCTGTCCACGGACGCGGGCTGGGCCCCACACGTCCATGTGAAGCGTCTGCAACGGGGCCTCTGTCGGAGGAAACTGGGAGGAGTGAGGGGCAGCCCGCTGGCGCCCCTCGACACAGGGGACACAGGTAGGGCCAGGGCCCTGAGGAAGGGGAGGGAGGGACCGGGGAAGACCAAAGACAAGGACATGGGAAGCCATGCCTCGGAGATGAGGCAGAGAGGGGTGACCAAGACGGTGGTGCCACAAGAGAGTCTCGTGAGATAGGAGGCGACACGAGCAGGGGGCAGACTCAGGACCAGACCTGGACGCTGCAGCAAACACCTGACCCGACGCAGTGACCCTACCAGACTCAACAACTGGAGGAGACGCAGTGGTCAGTGTGTACAAGCTCGACCCCGGCTGACGGGTAAACGTAGCCAGGTGTCTGCCTGTGCTAACCTGTGTGCAGTGCGTCACCCGCTGACGCGCAAGAGTGAACTGGTGTACTCCCCCATCCTGTAGGTCAGCACCACTCACCAGGTTCGTAGAGAATGAGGGGAGGTAGAGACCAGAAACGGTGCCAGAGGGAGCCGCCGGACACGGGAGGACTGTGGAGAAGTGAGACAGGACAGGACTCCCAGAGGGGTCAGCGAGAGACACCGCAACCGGCCGACTAAGCGGCGTGAGCGTGGTGCGGTCCCGAAAGGAGCGAGAAGCCCCAGAGTCAAGGGTGAAGGTGAGGGAGGCCGAAGCCGACGTAGTACCTGAGAGCGCAGACTCACCAGTACCTGAGGACGCAGACGCACTAGCACCTAGAGCAGCAGCGTCGCAAGCACCTAGGGCGGCCGCCTCACCAGTACCTAGAGCAGCAGTCTCAATGCCGGATCGGGCGGGAAACACCGGTAACAGTCACCCTCATCACTAAGAGACACAGCATACATGGCAGAAAGAATGGCATCAAAATCAAGATCATAGATGGCAACACCTGCCCTAGACACCTCGCCCCAGCGAGGGATCTCTGCGGCCTCCGGGAACTGGTGACGCCACGCGTCTGTCAGGCGGCCAAAGCAGCGCTGGGTGGGGTGCGCACCCCCACACTGCTCACCCGCACGGTCGCCGGTGTGCAGGACGTAGGTGCACGGACCAAAACCCCCACCCCGCTGGCGTGCAGTGTACCACTCACGGAGCTGCTGAGGGGACAGGGTCTCACGACGGCGCTGCTGCTGCTGGCGCGGACCACCATCGGAGCCACTCCTCCGCGTAGACCCGCGACCAGCTCCACCGCCACCCCCGCCGCCTCCGCCGCCTCCCCTACTACCGCTGCCTCCGCCGCCTCCTCCACCACCACCACCTCCGCCACCTCCGCTCCCACCGCCACCGCCTCCGCCGCCTCCGCCTCCACTGCCGCCACCGACACCTCCACCCCCACCTCCACTCCCACCACCACCCCCATTCCCCCGGCCGCCTCCACCTCCACCTCCACCGCCCCCGCTCGCTCCTCCAGCGCCCCTGCCCCCCTTGCCCTTGCCTGAGCGGCATCTCCCGCTAGGGGCAGACGCCGCACCGACCGACTCAAGACCAAGGAGGTCGGTCGCAGCAGTAGAGGCAACAGAGGGCACAAGGGGGGAGGGGGAACACCCCTCAAAGATGGGGGTGCGCGGGTCACCACGAGAGGCCCCTACAGCGACTATGCTCTTCTCGGCCGCTAGGAGGAACTTCTCAATAAGATCAACAGTGAGAGTGGTGGGACAGACTGAGAGGAAGTGGTCCCTGACTACGCGAAGGGAGTCAGGGAGGCGAGTGACTAAGTAGTAGAGAGTGGTGTACATGGGGGGGGGGGGGGGTTCTTGGCGCAGAAGTCAGCAGGAAGCGCAGCGCGGTAGCGAGTGTCACTAGTGCGGAGGTGCGTAATGAGGTCAGCTACTGTGGGAAAGGCAGCAAGGTCAGGAAAGAGGTACGGTAGCATGAGGCGGCTCAGTGCAGCAGTGGCAGGGGAAGAGTAGCGCGCAACTACAGCGTCGTACAAGGTTTGAGCACTCTTGTACTGACTAAAGTGCGCGCGCTCAGTGCTAGGAAGGTGGCGACGCACAGCAAGACGTGCAGCAGCATCGCGAGTGGCCCACTGTGAGCGAACGGTGGCGTCGGCATCGGCAGCAGGGGCAGGGGAAGCACTAGAGGTGAGGTCGAGGAGGGAGAGACCGTCTGCCCTATCGCACTGTAGGAAAAGCCGCAGGTCATCTACCCAGACGTCAATGTCAATGGCCCGATTCTCAGCGTCAAAAGTGAGAACACTGGGGGTAGCCATGACAGCAGTAGACTAGCAGCGCTAACTGTAGAGCAGGGGCAGTGCGGTGACAGAGGCAGTGCGCTCACCAGACAGGGCGGTCCGGGCAGCTCGAGCGGCTCGGCAGCAACTACTGCTCGGCGGCACTCGCGGCTCGGCTCCTCAGTTGCTCAGGCGGCTCGGGCGGCTCGGGTGGCTCGGCTGCGTAGGCGGTTCGGGCGGGGCCGTAGGTAGGGCGGTGGGGCCGGGTCGAAGGTAGGGCGACGGGGCCGGTGCGCAGGTAGGGCGACAGGGCCGGGGCGCAGGTAGGGCGACGGGGCCGGGGCCGGGCCGTAGGTAGGGCGACGGGGCCGGGTCGAAGGTAGGGCGACGGGGCCGGTGCCGGGCCGCAAGTAGGGCGACGGGGCCGGGTCGAAGGTAGGGCGACGGGGCCGGGGCCGGGCCGTAGGGAGGGCGACGGGGTCGGGGCCGGGTCGTAGGTAGGTCGACGTGGCCGGGGCCGGGCCGTAGGTAGGGCGACTGGGCCGGGTCGAAGGTAGGGCGACGCGGCCGGCGCGCAGGTAGGGCGACGGTGCCGGGGCCGGGTCGTAGGTAGGGCGACGGGGCCGGGTCGAAGGTAGGGCAACGGGGCCGGTGCGCAGGTAGGGCGACGGGGCCGGGGCCGGGTCGTAGGTAGTGCGACGGGGCCGGGTCGACGGTAGGGCAACGGGGCCGGTGCGCAGGTAGGGCGACGGGGCCGGGGCCGGGCCGCAAGTAGGGCGACGAGGCCGGGGTCGCAAGGGGGGGCGACGGGGCCGAGGCGCAGGTAGGGCGACGGGGCCGGGGCGCAGGTAGGGCGACGGGGCCGGGGTGCAGGTGGAGCGACGGGGCCGAGGCGCAGGTAGGGCGACGGGGCCGGGGCGTAGGTAGGAAAGGGGAGCGCGACTCGGGCTGCGCGCGCTCCGGGCAGGAAAAAAAAAAAAATCGAGTTGGTGGGCCCTAGGCACAGTTCCCACAAGGGAACCTGCTCGATACCATGAGAAGATTGAAACGAGGATGAATGAACTATGAATGAACTGAGTGCAAATACTAACCCTAATTGGGTTGTACCCCTTATGGGCTACCCCACTATAGCCTACATAATGAGCACAAGCTATATGTTCTGACAGTCTTCGGGGGGGTCCAGTTCGTACATTTGCTGTTCGTAAACTCCCTCAGTTACCACATTTTTTGTGGTAACCCTTTATTGAACGTGTCCTGCGGACACAATCAGCTTCTGTTCGCATGACGGCACGCCCCATGCACGTACCTAGAGTCGTCTGACTCACGTTACTGGAATCAGGAGGGACGCGAACAAGGTTACAGCACCGCGTCCTGGCCACTACAGTTCGTTTCCCCTGTATCGCTTGCACGATTTCGTCAGTGGTTCGCTTTACTCGCCAGCGCCCCCTGCGCCCGCACAAAAATTTTCAAGCTATGATTGACGAGGGAAACTGTTACCTCGTTTTCAACGTGGTCAGAGCACTGTTGATTCGTGTGGCGGGGAATGTGTCCGCGCTTCTGAAATTACAGGATGGTTCGACTCCACTCACAATGCATTCGTTTCTAGGTACGGTAGTCATTTTTTAACCTCGATACGTGCGTTGGCACGAAAAATCCCGAAATGAACGAACTGGACACGCCCTTACGGGACAGTTGAATAGCGTAGGTTTTTACGCACCTTTGCACATGAGGTTGGTTTATTTGCCATTTTCGATTTGCTTTGTTCATCTCTGTATCTGATTAGGGCGTGGAACATTGCAACGAACTTTGTGAATGTTCGTACACATGCGCGGGCTGGACGATTTGCGAAGAATTTAGGGTAACGCCTAAAGATTCTCTTAAATGGTACTCACCCTAGCTTGACTTCAGTTCAAGGGTAAAACAAAAATCATCCCGTTCCTCGACCTTGAAGTTTCCATCTCAGACTCATCCCCAGTAGGGTCCAATGTTTGGCGTTTCCCACTGCATTCGCTAAACACTATTGTCTCACCCGGCTCTCTGTGCTACACGGCTACACTCAAAAGAGGAAAGGTTAGTCGAGGATTTTTTCTAGGTTTATGGATGTAGCTTTTTTAGAACCCCTTCGGGCTGGCGAAAGACCAGCCCGAAACGTGTGGCGGGACTCGCGTATGCGTTACTAGAGTTCGCAAATCGTCCAACCAGCACATTTGTTCGAACACCAGCCATGTTCGTTACAATGTTCCACGTGTCCAGCTCGTACGTTTTCAGTTCAATTTGTGCGGTTGACCGCTTTGCGTCACGGTAAACAAAGGTGAAAATCCAAAATCGCTTTGCACCTTCTGATATTGTTTTGCACCACGGTAGATGAACTGTATATGAACCGAAAACGTACGAGCTGGACACGCCCTTACGATCAATATACAACCTTCAACCTAACACCATCCACCTCCCACCTCCGCACGACAGCAGCACCTCCGCACCCACACACGACCAGCTATGCCATGTGGTGCATGCACTAGGCTCATCACAACGGCGACCACAACAGCCGGAGTCAACGAATGAAGCGGCGCAGGCGTAATTATAACGAGGAAAGAGAATCTGCATTGCCACGAGTGACGCTCCGCGGTTACGCGTCGCACGAATCGCCTCGCGATACAACAAGCGCTCAGCCGCGTCGAAGTCAGCACGTCAGCGTCAGTGGCGCGCCAGCATGCGAGAACGAGGCGTGGCGAGGGCAAGCGGCAGGCAACCAGGCCGCCCGTCGCTCGCCGTGCGTCCATTCCCCCGCGCGCTCGCCCAGGACTCGCCGAGCCCAGCAGGCCCAGCTGCAACCGGGGCAGCGGGTTCGTGACGACTACGGCGCTGCCGCCACGGAAGCGCGCGCGGACATCGACGCGGTGGGTGGCGCGGAGCCCATTGGCAGCAGGGGCGACTGCGGTTGCGACTCGGAGGCCGCGCGTCGACGCGCGGACGGGCAGGCGCCGCACCCTGACGCGGCGCGTCGCGGCGCGTGCGCGTGTCGCTTCTGCAGCTGGCGGTTCGACTCAGACGACGAGTCGGACTGCGATCGCCCCTGCTCCGCTCAGGACTCGCCGCGCTTCCGCCCGCAACCCGTGCAGTGCGGGTGGCAGGGGGCTGCGGAAACAGTCGTCCGGGGAACGGCGCTGGGGGGAGCAGAGCTGGGGGGAACGGCGCTGGGGGGGAAGACGGGTGGCGGAGGGAGGGCGGAGGGCGAAGGGGCAGGTGGGGGATGTGGGGACGAAGAGGGGCTATGGATGGGCGGAAGGGGAACTTACCCTGCGGGACGATTCGTGGGGAGCGATGGGGAGTGTGTGGTGCTGGCAGGTTGGGATGGGTGCTGCGTGCTGCTGGACTCGAGCACTCTGCAGGTACTGGGCGGGCGGGTGGTAACAAGGGGCGTGGGCGGAAAGGCGGGGGGGCAGGGAGGTTGTAGATGTGGAATGGCAATGCAGTGCAGTGCAATGCACGTGAGGCACTACCACCACCACACCACACCACGTTGCTTCCTGGAACACCCCACTTTCATCCCCCTCTCTCTCCCTCTCTCTCATCTGTCCACTCTCCTCTCATTCTCCGTTCTCTCTCTCATGCCCCCCCACAACCCACGTCACCACCAACAGCAGCGAGCATTGTTCCGGCCACCACCAGGGATGCAGCTAGCAGAGCCAGCAGCATGCCACGTGGTGGCGGCACCATCACACGATGGGCTCACAGCGCGTCTGCTGCTCGCCACGTCGCGCTCGCACGCCGCCTTCTGCTGCTGGGACCTCCTCTCCTCCCTCCTCGTCTCCTGCTTCCCCCCTCCCAACCCCACCGCCTCGCCCTCGCCCTCACCTGCGCCCTCGCCTGCGCCCTCGCCTGCGCCCTCCCCTGCGCCCTCCCCTGAGCCCTCCCCTGCGCCCTCCCCTGCGCCCTCCCCTGCGCCCTCCCCTGTGCCCTCCCCTGCGCCCTCCCCTGCGCCCTCCCCTGCGCCCTCCCCTGCGCCCTCCCCTGCGCCCTCGCCTGTGCGCTCACCGGGCTCCTCGCCCATGAATAGTCGCGTTCCCTGTGACACACGCACTCGCACTGCTGCCGCTGCTGCACTGGCCCATGGTGCTGCTGCCGCCCCTGCCACTTCCATCCACATGCGTGGAGAACCCTTGGCACCACTCCCCCCAGCAGCACCACCACCAGCACCCACTGCTACGGCCGCAAACTGCTCCCCACTGTCCTCTCGTTGCCCCTCCTCCCACCCCTCGCCTGTGTACCACACGCCATTCACCTGCTGCCCCTCGTCCTCCCCCCGTCAGCCACCGCCGCACCACTCACCCTGCCACAGCCACTCGCCACCTCATGCCACGTCACCATCGCCCCACGCACCCCTCCCCACTGTCCCCCCCGTCCTTCCTGCCTCCCCTGCCCCCGCCGCTTTCCCTACTGCTGCTGCGCCTAAGCCAGCAGGCACACAAGGAGTGGCCTCAGCAACCGCAACAGCAGAGGGGGCAGTGCTCGCACCCCAAGCGAGGCCCTCGGCCATGCCGTCACCACCCTCCCCTGCCCCGTCTCCTCTCCCCAGCGCGCTAGCAGCGGTGCCTCGTACAGATGTAACAGGTCACTGGTGTAGCAGGATGGCGTCAGGGCATGGCGCACTGCACATGGCATGCAGCTCGGCACTCGCAGGCAGTGCAGTGGGGCGGGGCAGCACGGGGTGTGCAGGTGCAAGCGAGCATGCGGGGAGGTGCGCAGCAGAGGAGGGCAGTGTTGAGTTGCACCACTCACGCGCGGCACACCTCTGCTGCCCACCCCAACCTGCACGCATGCACCACCGCCTCGCACCGCAGCACACCGCTGCTCCACCGGGTGGTAAAGTGCCGCTGACTCCACCTGCCTCTGAAACCCCCTCCCTCACTCCGCCAACCCCCCAACCCGCCTCCCTCCCCACCCCATCCCCGCACCCGTCCCCACTCCCATCGCCGCCAAACCTGCCCGCCCACCCTCCGCCGCCCGCACCGCCATCCTGGAAGCACCTCGCGCCGCCCGAATGGCACGCAGCCCCATACGGTGCATCGCTGGCGATGGTGCAGGCGGGCGGCAGCGACGTGCGCATCTGGGACGTGCGGGACGGGGGCGTGGCGGTGAGCATGCAGACGGAGGGCGCGGTGGAGCGCATGGCGAGCTGCTCTCCTATTCTGTGGCTGGACGAGGAGCGCCTCGTCGTCGTGGAGGAGGGCGGCAGCGTGGGGCTGTGGCACGTGGCGGGTGGCGAGGCAGTGCTGTTCCACCACGTGCAGCTGCTGGACCCGTGGGGCGAGGCTGAGCGCGTGTGCGCCGTTGCTGTCATGCCGGGGCGGCGCTGCAACAAGCGCCTCTTCCCCTCGCTGTCAGTGCTGCTGCCTGAGCTCATTGCACTGTGCCTACTGCATCCATCGCTGCGTCATTCGCTCAACCCCTTTTTTCCTTCTTCTCACTGTGTGCGCCCGCTGATGTCCGGCTCCCCCTGCTGCCCTGCTCTCCCGTGGACCACGGTGTGGTAACATGACCCCATGGCACGGCATGGCAGGAGGGGCGAGGGAGTGACATGTGCAGTAGCAAGCGAGAGCGCGGTGTACCTGGCGGACTGGAGCACCCCGGCTGTCATCCTCCACCGCATCGCCTCCTCCCACGCCCGCCCGCCAGGTCAACCCTTCTTCTCCCCTCGCCTTGCCTCGCATGCTGCATGTGCATGGATGGTGCATGCGCATGGATGGTGCATGCGCATGGATGGTACATGTGCATGTATGCTGCACATGCTTACTAGCAGCTTGTGGTGCTCGACCTTTGCCATTCTCCATCCTCCCCCCACCACCCCACTCATCTGCGCCCCCCACTCATCTGCGCCCCCCACTCATCCCCGCCCCCCACTCATTCCCCATCTGCCCACCCCCCCACCCTCCACCACCACTCCCAGACGCCATGTGTTTCGCGGGCACGTCTCTCTTTGTGGCGCTGCCCTCGCTGCCGCATGAAGACTTTGCCGCCGTGCAGGTGAGTGCACGTGGGTCAGAAGATGAGAGCACATGGGCCAACTCCTTCCGCCACTGCAATCAGCGTTTCATCTCCCTGCCTCCTCTCCATCATCCAACTGCCACTCTCTCAGGTCCCCACCCGACCCTCCCTCCCACCCCCTGTCCGCACGGCCCTACAGCGCATAGAGTGCATCAGCGGGCGGGAGGGTGAGCGGTACCACCTGGACTCGCACGTGCCGCGCGCCAGCAGAGGGCCGCTGCTCGCCGTGCGCGTGCACGCCGGGCGGCTGTTTGCACTGCATGCGGGCGGCGTGCACGTGTTCCGCCTGCACCGGGCGGCGCAGCGGGGCGGAGGAGCGGGGGCAGGCAGGGGTGCGGGCGGGGATGGGGGGTATGAGGTGCGGGGGCGGGGTTACCTGCAGCAAAGGGCAGGGCAGGGGAGGAGAGGTAGAGACAGATGTGGGAGTGCAATGGCGGGCATGGCAGCAGCGACCACGCAAGCCCCTGTGCAGAGAGCGGTTGAGTGCGGTGCGACGGTGACGGGAAGAGAGAGCGGAGGGGCAGAGAAAGAAGCAGCGGTGGTGCTCCGTCCCCAGGCATGGCACAGTGGTGCTGCTGAGGGGTCTGAGGGCTCACCCGGCAATGAGGGGCAGCAGGGAAGAGAGAGCGGTTATGGAAGGGAGGAGGGGTATGAAACAGAGGAGGGTGTGGATGGGCAGGAGGGTGAAGGGGGGCAGGATGGCATTGCGAGGGCCGTGGAGTGTGACAGCGGTGGTGGTGGAGATGGTGGTGGAGTGGGCAGTGGGGGGAGCGAGGGGGTGGAGGAGCGGAGGCTGGTGGGGGTGGTGGGCAGGCGGGTGAATGGGCTGCTGCACCCGGCCATGGATGTGGTTGGGGATAGGCTGCTGCTCGTCTCTGCTAACCACCCGCCATGTCTGTATTCATGTCCCTGATTGTTTATTGTATTTATTATTTCCGATCACAAGCACACCCCAAATTTCAAACAAAGCCAAGGTGATATGGGACTGAGGGGAATGGTGCGGTCTCAATAGAAACACATGTGCAGTACGATTTTGCCCTAAGAATGTCCACGTTCAAGCCCAGGAACGAAGCCCATTCTGGTGGCTCCCCTTATCCCCATAAACATTCTTATCTTATCCAGGAATTTTGCTTGATTGTAGAACCTGGCACGTGGCCATATGGGAATTCCCTCCCATCCCATGCCTCACTTTTTGTGTCAAGTACATGATGTGTATGCAATCATTCTGTTGAACCGTTTCACACCACTCATTGTGCATGCATCAGCAAGCAACCCTTTGGAGGCAACAAAATCAATCTCGGCATCCCTAGCAAGCAACAGAGAACCAACCACCCCAACATGATCCCCTTTGAGGTACCCGGCGGTACATGGTCCTTTCATCATCCAGCTCCAGCCCATACATGCTGTACACGCCACGAGGCTGCACCATGTCTTCACTGTCAAGCAGGTACATGCAATCCCTCACTCCCAGGTAGCGCAGCATCCTCAGCTCCATCACATCATGCGGCAGGGCTTCCAAATGCTCACAGCCATTCACACTCAGTCGCCTCAGCCTGGCCAGCCTAGCGAATCCGGAAGGGAGGGAGAGAATGCCGGTGTATGAAGCATCTAGCTCCTGGAGGCATGTGAGGTGGGTGAGGGAAGCAGGCAGCTGCTGCAAGGCCCTGCATCTGGTCTGCAAGGCCCTGCATCTGGTCTGCAAGGCCCTGCATCTGGTCTGCAAGGCCCTGCATCTGGTCTGCAAGGCCCTGCATCTGGTCTGCAAGGCCCTGCATCTGGTCTGCAAGGCCCTGCATCTGGTCTGCAAGGCCCTGCATCTGGTCTGCAAGGCCCTGCATCTGGTCTGCAAGGCCCTGCATCTGGTCTGCAAGGCCCTGCATCTGGTCTGCAAGGCCCTGCATCTGGTCTGGACACGTCCAGCTTGCACAGCCGAGTCAACGCACCGATGCCACCAGGGAGACACACTAGCCTACATCGTATAACCTCCAACGACGTCAAACACTGCAGCTCACACACGCTTGCCGGAAGCTCTTTCAAAGACAACTGCTCAACTTTCAGCCTCCTCAGCCGCAGCACAGACAATCCAATGCATTCGGGAAGCCTCGTAAGATCCGCATAATCGTAGGGAAAGAAATTGGGAGATCCCAAAAGGAGGAGGGTGTGGAGATGTGGGAGGACTGGAAAGGGTGAGGGGAGATCCTCAGCATGCTCCGCTGGTACCAACTGGAGTCGCCTCAGCCGAGATGCTCCCATGTCAACCGCCAGGCTGCTTCCAGCACCAACATTCCTGAGCTTGAGATTCCTCAGGTGTGGCATTCTGGGCATGTCGAAGCAAGGAGCATGCTGGTTGTAACTCGGCATGGTTAAGATCTCCAGAGAAGGGGGGAGGGATGCAGGAGGTTCAGCCAGCCTTCTGTTCAAACCGTCAATCAGCTCCAGCCGCTTCAGTCTCGTGAGAGCATCCAACCTTGGAATTGAAGAGAGCTGTTCACAACCATCAATCCTTAGGATCTCCAACGCAGTGAGGCGGGAGAAGGAGTCTGGAAGTGCCGTAAGATGAAAGCAGGAACACATGTGCAGGTGCTGCAGGTTACTCAGCATCCCTATGTCCTCAGGAAGCTCTGTAAACTGAAAGTGCTTGAGCTCAAGCCTTGTCAGGGCAGAGAGTTGCGTCAGAGAAGATGGGAGCAGCCGCTGCGCCTCGCAATTACCTTCCAGAAGAAGCGTTTTCAGGTTACTGAGCCTTCCAATGTCGTCTGGATACATCAACACCTGCGACTGCCCAAGGTACAGTGTCTCCAGTGCAGTAAGGCAGCTGAATTCGTCTGGTAGCTGGTGGATCCGTTGGCAATAGAGGAGCGAGAAGAATTTCAGCGAGGTGAGCTGGCAGAGCGAGTCAGGGAGGTCTGTGAGCAGCAACAAGTGTAGCTCCAAGTGCTTGAGAGCCGGAAACGCTCCCAAGTTGCTTGGAAGCCTGGAAAACACATCGCACCAAGAGATGCGCACTTTCTCTAGCCGTCTGAGGGAGGCCAACTCATCTGGCAGCTCGGTCAAGCGATTGCAGAAGGTCAGCTCCAACTCCCGCAGACACAGCATCAACTCTCCAATGTTAGGGCGGAAACGCTCGATACTATTAGGGGAGCCAATTTCCAGCCGTTGGAGGTTGGTGCCTAGATTGATCGAAGAGAACAAGTGGTAGAATGCCTTGCCGTGGCCATTGACTTCCAATGACCTCAGACTGCGTAGCTTAAGCGATGGGTAAGAAGTAGGGGCGACATCAGGCTGAGACCGAACGTTCTGACGAGATATTGTAAGACTAATAAGGTTTGAGAGATGACGGAGGCCTAAGAACTGCTCAGGACTGAGGTTCGGGGAGGCTATGTGGAGAGTGGAGAGCGAACTGAGATTGGCTAAACCGGGAGCCTCTAGTGCAGACGCGGTCGTGAGGAGGAGGGTGCGCAGATGAGTGAGTTGGAAGAAGGAAGGTGGCATGTTGACATCTTTGTGCAGGCAGAAGAGAGAAAACTGATCCAGTCGTGGACATTGGGTAAAGAACCGATCTAAACCGGCTTCAGTTATTGTATGCGAATTCCCTGGGTGGTTGCTCTCGTCATCATAGTAGTATAGGTTGATCTTGCTTCCCACGTGAAGAACCCTGAGCTTAGGGCAGGCGGAGGCGAGGTGGGTGAGGAAGGCGTCGTCTACCATCTCCACGCTGCCGTCGTTCAAGTGAAGGTGGGTCAGGTTCGGAAAGCGAGTGATGGCGTTTGCGAGATCTTCGCGGGAAACAAGTAGATCCTTTCGGACAGAAAGGCTGGTAACGTGTCGCCGAGCGAGATCGCGCCAGTCACGGCAAACAGAAGCTACAAGGAGATTCCAGGCGGTGCCTGCAGAAGCAGGAGGCGCGGGTATGGGAGTGATGCTGTTCTCAGGTGATCCAACATAACGACTTGGCTCCGGACTCAAGCACTCATAAGCGTCATCCTCAAAATCGTCAGTTATGGGCTGGTGAGTCGGAAGAGAGCTTATATGCGTGCGCTTCATACTGCGAGATCGAGCAGTTGGTACTAATCTGGACGCTGATTTCTAAAGATCAACGGGAAGTACGGGCTCGCGTTTCAAGAAGAGATGAAGATCGAGAGGTACTTATTTCGACTACTGTACTCCCAACATTCACACTTCCAACTATGAGCCTCGCTACCTGATTCATTTAGTCTGCTTGTCTTGGGTTTCTAGCTGCGATCCTAGGTTGTAGATCTACAAGAGTGGCGCTCGCTGGATCTGCCAAGGTGAATTTCGTGACGGGTCTGACGAAAATATCAGCGCGGTTACCATACGCAAGCTGATAACGCGAAATCGTGAAACACATTTCGCTAGCGGGGGACGAAAATTTCATGTTTGACTGCTAGCAAGTTCCCAACATGTTCTGCTTAGTGAAACGAGCCCTGGGCCTCGAAGACCTTGAGCGAAAATACGGATTGGCATACAAAGCGGTAACCCTAGCGAGCGGCATCCCCAGAAAGTTGGAAGCCTCTCCCTCAGCCCATGTTCGAGAACCGTCAGACAGTTAGGGGGAAGAAATTGCTCTTGCCAGAAAGCTTCACATCTCTTCACTGAGAGCTGCGCTTGAGAGCGTCTGGAGGAGTGTCGCGAGCTGCATGTGGAACTGACTACGAGCAACCGACGTGGTCAAGCCACGTGTAGACTCGGCTGCTGCTGAAAGCACGGGTCCAGCTGAAATCGCGTTTTATTAGCCGCGGCGCACGCATTCTGAGCGACCCAGCGTTGTTTCAGGTGAGCGGGAGGATTTACATTCGCAACAACGGCTGCTCCTAGCTTGGTCTGTCTTAAGTCATAAAGAACACACGAAACTGATCTTAAGTGCCCTTCGACACTATCGTATGCTCGTGGAAGCCGTGGTATACAAGCATACTCGCATCTCAGGCATTTGGCTTTCTCAAGGTTGTGTTGAGCTTCACTTGAGCAGCCAGTCCGTGCGTACGACTGTCAGCATGGCGTCCAGTGGAACCCACATCCACGATCTCCCCGACGACGTGCTTATCAGGATCTTATGGCCTTCCGAACAGTTGATCTCGTGCAGATCTAATAGCAATGACCTGCGGAGCACAGTGGGGCACAGGCCCACGTACCTCGTCGCGGACGCTACTTCAGAAGAGGCCTGGCGTATGCGAGGGGATACTTCCGTGCCGACCGCCTCCGCAGATGCCTGCCTCTTCATTGCGTCCATCTGTCGGCGCTGGCGGGATCTCGCTAAGAGGCACGTCTCGTCGCTGCTGGTAAAGGAGGGCCGCGCCGTGTCTCACCGCGATGTGCTCAACGCCGTCGCTTTCTTTCCCCGGCTGACCCATCTGCACCTGGCGGATTTGAGCGTTGAATCGCTGGACGACGCGTTTCTAGCTGACCTCGCCTCTTCGTGCCCTTGGTTGAGAGCGCTGCACGTGGGGATGCTAGCGGTGAATGGGGGACCGCATGGAAGCAATGAGCGCGTGATCACCGAATCTGGCTTGGATAATTTCTTCCGCCAGTGCGCTCAACTGGAGCATCTGTCGCTGTACTCATCCCGTGTGTCCACTCTGCCCGAGAGCTTTGGGGATCTTCCAGCTTTGAAGGCGCTGGTGCTGCGCCAGCTGCCACTGCTCCGTCTCCCTGCTTCCTTCACCCGACTCGCATCTCTGGAGTCGTTGCTTCTCGTTGGGTGCAAGGAGCTGCTGGAGCTACCTGCAGGGTTTTGCTGCCTCACAGCACTCCAGACTCTGAGCCTGGCATGTTCGCCCACCCTGCACCTTCCAGAAGACTTGGGTGCCCTGACCAATCTGCGAACCTTTGATCTTCAGGATAACAGACAAGAGCAGCTGCCGTCCTCATTCACGCAGCTGGTGTCGCTGACCCGGTTGGAGCTGGACGGGTGCGAGATTGCAGAGTTTCCAGAGGGCATGGTGGAGATGACAAACCTGCAGGGCTTTACTTCTGCAACTGCTCTTTTAGGGAGCTTCCAGAGCTTGTGACGGCGCTCGTCAGCCTTGAAGTACTGAGGATTGAAGCGTGTCCCAATCTCTCTTCCATTCCCACGAGGCTGGACAGCCTTAACAAGCTGACGCAGTTGCGGGTGAGGGGCTGTTGCGAGCTGAACGAAGCCCCTCGGGCTCTGCCGCTCAGTCTCCAAGCCTTGTCATTCAGTAACAATGAGGAGGTAGCGTCTATGCTAGACATTTCAGCACTCACAGGGCTGAGGGAACTGTGCTTGGCCTTTGTGTATGCAACTCGTCTTGAGGCCATCAGTGCCCATCTCCCTAACATGGAGCACCTGGAACTGGTGCTGGAAGAAGAAGCAGAGAAGTCTCTGTCCCTGCTGGCAAGGCTTCCCCACCTCCGCACCTTGATGCTCACGGAGGTCGGCAGTGTGAGCAATCTGGTGGAACCTGGTGGCTCGGCATTGCAGGAGCTGCAGCAGCTGAACATCTACACTAGGTCTGAGAGATTCACAGAGCTGCCTGACGCCATCACCACTCTCCACCACCTCACATCCCTTCAGATCCACGCACCGAAGTTATCATCTCTCCCGTACGCCTTTGGGGCATTGTTAAGGCTGCGCAAGCTGGACTTATCCTTCTGCTCTTCGCTCGCGCATTTCCCTGATTCCCTCACACAGCTCTCTTGCCTGCATGAGCTGAACCTCTGCGACGCCAGCATCCACCTGCTTCCTGCTGGCTTTGCTAACCTCAGCAGACTCAAGAAGCTTGATCTGGATCAATGCGAGCAGCTGGAGGCTCTGCCGGGCGACTTATGTGATCTTAGAATGCTTGATGACTTGAACACTAGGAGGTGTGTTATGCTCCAACGCTGAAGGTGCTTTTCACCTCTCATATGTTAGGTCCGTAGTTAGTGTGAGTACATGCCAGCACACTGAGGCTCCACTACAATCTAGTTTGAAGTGGTTTAAAAACTTTTCCTTTGGATTCTGCGTACAAGTCAGTGAACTACTTTCCAGGTAGTGAACTACTAGATGCTATGGGTAACAGTGACAGGGAAGTGGAAAGCAGAGAAATCTCCATACATGCATTCATCTCATCGCACAAGTCGTACAAGGAAGGGGACACAAGTGGAGGGCGCAGGGGGGAGGTGGAAAGATGTTGCGTGAAGAGAGGGTGAGGAGAAACGGGAGGATGAAGGGAGTGGGGGAAGAGGGCAGGAGGGAGGGGAGAATGGAAGCTGGGCTGTAAAATACTTTTTTTGGCTTCGTGTAGTGGCCCCGTCTTATCAATATTCAAGTAGGTTAAACTGCAGATAATGGTAGATCAGGTTATGCATTGCCATCTCATGTGCTGGCAATTGAAGTAGTGGCGACATTATGTTCCCTTTCCCCTTTACCCTCCTGCCACTCCGTTTTTGTACCGATTTTCTCTCTCTGAACAACCTTCCCATATTCCCGCCCCCACCTTGGTTTTCGTCACCTGCCTCCTCATCGTGCAGCATTGCCTGCACGCTGTGCCCTTCCAGCTGAAGCCACCTCACTCGGCTCACAGTCCTGGTTTGCCACATGCAGACCTTGTCAAATGTTCATGCTAAAGCCCATCCATGCATGACCATGCAATGCAACTCATCATCATCCTTGCATGGCTATCACAATTCCACGATTTCCGTGGCCATGGTACAAGTTCATGCATGGTCACGTGCATGCGCGCATGCACCACATCATACATACACATCATCAAGCACACTCAATTGGCGGTGCGCTGGACGACTTTGGCATGTCTCCTTACATCACAGGTGAAGGTGATGATGCTCCCATACTCCCGTCTTCTCTCATCCCCACCACTCCTCTCATAACCTCCCACTCCTCCCATACCCCCACTCCTCTCACACCCCCACTCCCACTCCTCTCGTTACATCCTCATCATACTACTCTTTTGCACGATCCCCTGTCTATCCCCACACCCTCTCCCTCCCCCACTTCTCCCCCTCCCTCTACCCCTCCACCCCAGCACAGACGGCCGTCCCTTGGTACCAAGCAAGGCACTGACTGGCAAGCAAGGCACTGACTGGCAAGCAAGGCACTGACTGCCAAGCAAGGCGCTGACTGCCAAGCAAGGCACTGACTGCCAAGCAGGGCACTGACTGGCAAGCAAGGCACTGACTGCCAAGCAGGGCACTGACTGCCAAGCAAGGCACTGACTGGCAAGCAAGGCACTGACTGGCAAGCAAGGCACTGACTGCCAAGCAGGGCACTGACTGGCAAGCAAGGCACTGACTGGCAAGCAAGGCACTGACTGCCAATCAAGGCACTGACTGCCAAGCAAGGCACTGACTGGCAAGCAAGGCACTGACTGCCAAGCAAGGCACTGACTGCCAAGCAGGGCACTGACTGGCAAGCAAGGCACTGACTGGCAAGCAAGGCACTGACTGCCAATCAAGGCACTGACTGGCAAGCAAGGCACTGACTGGCAAGCAAGGCACTGACTGCCAAGCAGGGCACTGACTGGCAAGCAAGGCACTGACTGGCAAGCAAGGCACTGACTGCCAATCAAGGCACTGACTGCCAAGCAAGGCACTGACTGGCAAGCAAGGCACTGACTGCCAAGCAAGGCACTGACTGCCAAGCAGGGCACTGACTGGCAAGCAAGGCACTGACTGGCAAGCAAGGCACTGACTGCCAATCAAGGCACTGACTGGCAAGCAAGGCACTGACTGGCAAGCAAGGCACTGACTGGCAAGCAAGGGACTGACTGGCAAGCAAGGCACTGACTGCCAAGCAAGGCACTGACTGGCAATCAAGGCACTGACTGGCAAGCAGGGCACTGACTGCCACTGACTCTTGAGTTACAAAGCAAGGTCTGCGGAAAAGGGCAGACTGTCAATGCGTGAGGGAGGGAGATGTGACGGGATGGTGGGAGAGTGGTGGGCCGCGAGGCGTGGATAGATGGTGGTGGAGTGGAGGACGGAGATAAAGAAGAGGGGGATTGGTGACAAGAAGGATACAGAGAGAGGGAATGTGGTCGAGCAAGAGGAGGGCCACGAAGAGGATGGTGAGGGGAGGAGGAGGAGGATTGGGCAGAGCTGCTGGAAGTAGTGGCTGGTGTGATTGGGGGGGTGCAGGCGATGCAGGCGATTGCCAGCCCTGTGAGCGTCATGGTGGATGGTGGCAAGGAGAGCAGCAGAGTGGGTGGTGGTGGTGGCGTGGAGGACAGGGTGGCGAGGCAAAGAGTTATGAATGCAACAAGAGGAGAAACTGGGTGCTGATTGCTGATTTGCGCATCACTTATCACTTGACATGGGTGAGTGTTGCCACGCCGGACATGATTCCAGCATGCACCATTGTTCCTTATCGTGATTAGTCCCTCCCAGGTGTTCTGTGCTGTTACATTGTGCATTGACATTGTCCTTTTCACTTGTACTCGCGGCTGCTAATGCTGCTGGTCCTCGCATGGTCGCATCAGGTTCCTTGAGTGCAGAAGCGATGCATGACTGAGAGGTGAGTGGGAGAACGTGTCAGTGGGGGTTGGGAGGGAAGTGCGTCAGCAGTGAATGGCTGTTTCTACTGCATACTCAGAGAGAAGTGCCATGGCTTTGATAACTCTATTGTGCATCATTCATGCTACCACCCCCTCTACCCCTCGTCAACCATGCTGGCACCCAGTATTCAATCCTTCTCATCTGAGCCTTCCAGAACGGTACCATAGCAGGATGACACTACGGCAATAGAACTCTGTACTGTTCCACAGTTTCAGATGGTGTTTAATTATACTTTTGCACGTGTATGGACTACGTTGTTAAAGAGGCAAGTTATCTTCACATGACCCACGCCTGCACCACTCCATACTTTCCCGCACCACACCATGCTTGCCTTCACTTCCTAAAGTCTATTCATCCCCGCAAACCTTTTGCCACTCCTTGCTCTGAAGTTTCTGCCTTATTTCCTTTGAACTTTCTTGCAGCAACCAGTGGCTGCCATTCCATTCAAACCTCTGTTGCAGGTACAAGTCTACAGGCGTTCAGATGCAGTGCATGAGGGCACTCGTGGACCTCCAGCCGTGTGAGCGATCCAGCTGCGTGAACGAGGGCGGCAGCAGTGGACGTGTGCTGTACGACTTCAGGACGAGCGTGTGCAGGCTGGCGAGTGCTCCCATGTCGCCAGCACCAGCCACGCCCTGGGAGGACCTGCATGCTCCCTGCTGCCGCGCTCACCGAGCGCCTGCCACGCCGCTGCAACGGCGAACGCTGTGTGGGGGCGGCTGCGGGGGTGGCCGTGAGCCTACAGCGCCAGCCCGTTGCACCTGCCGCTTTCGCACAATGCCCGTCGCTGCACCTGCTGTCGCTGCACCTGCTGTCGCTGCACCTGCTGTCGCTGCACCTGCTGTCGCTGCACCTGCTGTCGCTGCACCTGCTGTCTCTGCACCTGCTGTCGCTGCACCTGCTGTCGCTGCACCTGCTGTCGCTGCATCAGCCGTCGGCCCGTCGCTGCCTGCTGTAGCCGCCGCACCTGGTGCCGCTATCTGTCGCCGTTGAATCTGCCAACGCTGCACTGGCCTGCCACCGTATCTTCTGCTGTACATTTCTCTTATTCTGCCTTCTGCTAGAATGGTGGACCCTTTCAGTGGGTGTTGTTGTAACCAGTTGTTGATGCAGGCAGGGGTGTGTCGACGATCTACTTGCTGAGTGTAGCTGTTTGCCTACCCTATGGGTGGTGCACCTAGCCTGCCCTACCATTCTTCTCTTCTCTTTAAAGTGAAACCCCTCTCTCCTCTTCCCATCTTCCTAAGACCCTACATTTGACAGAATCTTGTTTGCCTCCGACTAAAGGCGGTTTCATGCATGTGGGACAAGATAATTCTCATGGCATGGCTACAAATGCTGTGCTGAAATGAAAGCACGTGACGTGAAGGGCAAGGAACAAGCATGGTGGGGATATGCAGTGAGTGGAGTGGAGTCAGCTATCCCACCTTGGATGCGTCCAACAACCTCTTCACCACCCAAGCACTAATCTAGCAATCTATGCTTACTCCGAGTAGTCATAGAAGGTCTTGGCGATATGCAATCCACGCATGCCGTCAGGGCACTCAGTGTCAAGGTCATCAGCACACCCTGTGATGGTCAAGCTATGAAGCATCGTGAGCTGGGAGATATCCCTTGGCAACGCTACCAGCTGCTTGCACCCATGCAGGTTACCGGTAAGAGTCTTGAGCCGACGCAGCCGTCCAAAGTGGCGAGGCAGGGAGTGCAGGGAGGTGCAGCGCAGGTTCAGGTCGTGCAGGCAGGAGAGCTGCGTGAGGGAAGCCGGGAGCTCTGCAAGTGCCGAGCAGTTGGCCAGATTCAGCCGACGCAGTCGAGTCAAGGCGCCGATACCATCCGGTAGCGAGGAGAACTCGGGAGCATGGATCTCAATGGATGTGAGGCGGTGCAGAGCGGTGACACTGTCTGTGAGCTCCCTCAACTTGACAGCCTGGTTGATGTGAATGCGCTGCAGTCGCTGCAACACTGGAACATACTTCTTTGGAAAACTCTTCAGGCGGCCAGCAGTTGCGATTTTGAGGGTGCGGAGGTTGGGGAACAACTCTAGGGGCAGTGGGAGGTCCTCGGCCTCGCCCACCAGCAACAGCTCCACGTGCTCCATGGCGGGCAGCACCATGCTCGGGACCAGCCCGCGCATGCAGCCCACACTTATGAGGCTCAAGCTCCTCAGCCTGGGCAGAGCAGGGATTTCCAGAAAAGGGGTGAGGCGCTGGTAGGTTCCAAGGGAGAGGATCTCGAGGGAGTGCGGCAGCGATGGCAGGAGGTGGGGCAGCTGAGGGAGCTTGGCCAAGGCCAACTCCTGAGCCTCGAAAGGCTGCTCAAGGTGGTGGGAAAGGAGGAGAGGTCGCGGCACGCGCGGACCTTGAGAAGCTCCAGGTTGACGAGGTGAGGTCAGTGAGTGAGTCGAGTATCTCGGTGATGTGCGAGAAGGGCTGGATGAGCTTTACATCCCGTTGTCAGTGAGAAGCCGCGTACAGCCCAACGAGCTTTAAATTTGTCAATGGTGCCGCCAGCCTTTGTCTTCACACGGAAGACCCACTTCCCGGTGAGCACTGTCTTGTTCCGTGCTACGCCGATAGGAACCACTTTCCACGTGTTGCGTTCCTCCAGTGCCTTCAGCTCCTTGTCCATGGCTTCGCGCCATTTTTCCTTATGCTCCCCCCCCCAGAGCCTGTTGAACTGTCGCATGCTCTTTAGGAATGGCGGTGCCGTGGACTGCGGTGACGAGTCCGAGAATTTGCAGTCCACTCTATGAGTAGCGGGGAAGATTTGCGTCCTCGGGATAAGCTGCTTCATCTCCCGCTTTTGGATCAGGTATCACGGCGAATCACTACGTTTCCCACAGCAGTGACACTGGCGGCACAATCCCAGCGAGGCAGCACCCCGGCGAGGCACGGCTCCCGTGATGGTCTGGCTTGACCCCGCGTTGACGCCTGCTGCGCACACACTGGCACATGGCACGCCCACCCACTCCCATCGCCCCGCGCGTACCTCGGCGGAGATGAGCCGCGACACGGGCTATGCAGAACCTGGCATTGCGGTAGGCGATTGGGGTTCGGGGAGAGGAAGGAGATTGGGGTCAGGGGAAGGAGGCGAGGGGAAGCGTAAAGGCAGGGGTAAGGAGAGGGAGAGGGGGAGGGTGTAAGTGAAAGGAGAGTGCGCAAGGGGGGTAGAGGGAGGGTTCTAGATGGTGCGCTGACGAGCAGTACGGCTGTGCAGGTGGAGGCGAGAGGGCATGGGCACAGCAAGCATCCTCTTCTGCCTCCGCAGACCCATCGACAATCCCCCCTCTCCAGCGGTCCCTCACAGCCCTTGGAGCGACTCTCACAAGCGTCCTCGCCCCACAGCACTCTGTCCGTGCAACCCTCGAACGGAAACCGCCACTTACCTACTCAGCCAACAAAGCCAGTCAAAAGAAGGCCCGCGAGCCGTGATCTTCGGTTCGTGAGCGATATACGGTCAGGATTACTTTGGTTCCCGGATCGGCGGAATTGAAACCAGGCCGACCGTGCCCGGCAGCAGAGCTGACTTAACCTATGGCACCCTCCGAGGACAAGAGGCCAAAGGAGGAGGCGCTGAACTGAGGCGTCATGTTCGAGGGACACTCGATGCTGCTGCTGCCAACGAAACCATGCGCGCGAATCAAATCGATGCGCCGCAAGAGAAGCAGAAAGTACTGGACACGGGAGTGAAACTACTTCCGTGCCGCTGCTGGCAGAGTGAAACTGAGTTGGGTGTGGCTAGCAGATGGATGTATGCACAACAACATCGCCTTTATGGAAACAAAAGAACACGACCACGGAACAAAATAAGATCTCATACCATTCACGCTCAATAACTAGGCCAGTATTCGAAACGCTGGTGGCAGGCAAGAAGGTAGATGCTCAAACCACTCAAATGAGGGCGCCTGCTGACCTTCGCGGCTCGATGCGCAAAAGCGTCAACTCCTCCATGAGGAATCTCATCACTCGCGAAACCTGCCTCCCACCCCCCCACTCCGCAACTACACACACGGTTTCTGCCAGCCTATTCCGCAAGACTGCCCACGTTCGGTTCCGCAGCCCCAGCGCAATCCCAGATCCGCCCCAAAACTCCAACCCCAACAACCTCCACCTTCCCGTCAATTTCCAGGTCGTCTTGCCCCGCTTGCAAATGTTACCACAGAAAATATGCAATCACAGTCAGAGACATCATTTCTTTACCTCCTGTTATGTTTCGGCATTTTCGCCAGGGTCCCCTTCACCTTTGTGAGCGGAGTCGGTTCTGGGTGCAGAAGCCTAGCGGAAAGAAAAACAAACCCCTGCTTGCGGGAAGCGCAGTGAGAGCTCTGTGGAGCACACCATTACAGTACAGTCGATGCTCACTTAGTGCCGTGGAATTTGCTCGATCCATCTAACAACTTTTCCCTCGTGCATTCGTGGACAGGCAACGGCCCCTCATATACAGTCACGTCAGCAGATCGTAGCCGTCAATCAAACTGCTTATCACGCTGTCAACCATCCCTTCGTCAGATATTTTAGAAACAACACATGGTAATTCGCCAACCCCTCCACTTCCGCGTTACAGTCCCATTTTTTCCGGTGGCGAATTTAAGCGATTTCACGAAAAGCTTTTGCTCATTCCCCGCTCTTTGATAAGGCGAAGGTGGGGCTCCTCTAATGGGCATCAACTGTATCTGGGATACTGTGAAGCACGATTGCCTGCCACACTTTTGCAGTTCACATTCACTCTTACCTGCAGCACCGAAGGCGCGCTAGGGATTCCGCTAGTTTAGATACCATGCCTCGCGCATACATCAACGATCTATCAGACGACCTACTTGTTAGAATCTTCTGGAGCGCCAAAGAACCCTACATTACTCGCCAGCCCATAGACAACAACGTTGATACAACGCTATTCGGCTTGCCAGGGCCAAGGTACTCTAGCGAAAACCCGTATGGCGAAGAGCTCACCACCTCCGAAGGTTACTTGCTGCCCTTGTCGCATCGGAACGACAACAGTAGTAGAACGAACATTGCTAGCAGTAGTCCGCTGTCAGCTCCTGCCACGCGCACAGACCCGGCATACAATCTCCTCATCGCCTCCGTGTGCTCGCGCTGGCGTCGCCTGGCGCGTCGGCACGTGTCCATGCTCCTCGTGAAGAAGAACCGCGTCGTTCCGCTCGCACATCTCACCGCGGCCGTCGCGTGCTTCCGGCACCTCTCCCACGTGCATCTGAGCGACAACAGCGTCGAGACCATTGACGACGCCTTCCTCGCTCACCTCGCCGCTGCGTGCCCGAAGCTGGTGTCGCTGCACGTGGGCAAGGGCATGACGAAGCAGTGGAACCGGGGGGGCGGGGATGGCTTTCCGGTGACGGCGGCTGGTGTGGACAACCCAACGAGCTTTAAATTTGTCAATGGTGCCGCCAGCCTTTGTCTTCACACGGAAGACCCACTTCCCGGTGAGCACTGTCTTGTTCCGTGCTACGCCGATAGGAACCACTTTCCACGTGTTGCGTTCCTCCAGTGCCTTCAGCTCCTTGTCCATGGCTTCGCGCCATTTTTCCTTATGCTCCCCCCCCCAGAGCCTGTTGAACTGTCGCATGCTCTTTAGGAATGGCAGTGCCGTGGACTGCGGTGACGAGTCCGAGAATTTGCAGTCCACTTTGTGAGTAGTGGGGAAGATTTGCGTCCTCGGGATAAGCTGCTTCATCTCCCGCTTCTGGATCAGGTATGAAGTTCGGTCCTACTCGTTCTGCTTCGTTGGTGTTGACTGTCACAGGTGTTACGTAACCGTTGTCGGCGAAATAGTAGAAGGTTTCGGCGTTGACACTTTCGCGAGGGTTATCTTCGTCCATGGGAACGTCGACGGAGCAGAACGGAAGAGGTCCGGCTTCTTCTGATGCGTTGTCCACATTCTGCTCGTCCCAGTCAGCTTCGTCCGCTACTGAGGCAAAGGCTCGGTCACCGCGAAAACCACCTGTGGGATCCTGATCTTCTTGCAGGTTGGCGAGGTATGTCTGGAGCGTGAGTCGTTCGTAGAAAATTACATCACGTGATGCTACTATTTCCTTGGAATGGACGTTGAAGATTTTCCACGCGTTGTAGTTCTTTTCGATTCCCAGGTGTAGTCCCCACTGTACTCGTTGAGAAAATCGGCCCGCTCGTGCTGCTGGGGGTCGATACTGTACCATGCATCCGAATACTCGTAACATTTTTGTGCTGCCCTGTTTCCCTGTCCATAGCAGATGCGGTGATGCATTGTTTGGAAGCGATGATGGCGAGAGCAAGTTGTGCAGCATGACGGCGTGGTCCACTGCCGCAGGCCACTGGTGGTTGGGTAGCCGCATGCCACGTAACAGTTTGCGCATGCTGTTCTGCAAGGTCCTGTTCATTCTTTCTGCTACACCTTGCTGCTGATGGGCGTAGGGAAGGGAGATGAGCCACTTGATTCCCCTTTCCGCCAGGTACTGCTTGAATCGCTGAGAGGTGTATTCTCCTCCTCCGTTTGACTGGAAGCTTTTCAGTTTCACGCCCGATTTTCTCTCTGCTACTGGTAGCCAGGCAGCATAGGCTTCGAATGCCATGTCGCGGCTAGGGAGGTTTAGGTGCCAGACGTAACGGGTGGCGGCGTCGATGAAGGTGATTGTATAGTTGTATATTACTTGTCCTGGTTCTCGATTGAACAGGATGTCGCTATACACCTTCTCGAGTGGTGCGTACGCGGGTGCGCTCGGGTTGTGATGAGACGCAAACGGTCGATGTGGTAAGTCACCTTCAGGGCAGGTGAAGCACGTTCTGCGTACTCGTTGAATTTCTCGTCTGTTGGTCAGTAGGAGTGAGTCCTTGTCGAGTGCTCTTGCTCTTATCGTATTGTTTAATACTGTGTTGCTTGGGTGTCCCATCCTTGCGTGCCAGGTGCTTTCGTCGGCGCGATGTCCGGGTGATCGTCGGTACATATCGGAGTTGGAGTAGAAGTTGGGGGTGAAGTTGGCGCTGCGATGAACTTCTCGTGGTGCTGGGTGTAGTTGTTGCGCGGGTGTCGGTGGTGTGTCGTCGATGAGGAGCGGTGTCGTTGAAGGACCAGCAATTGGTGCTGACGTTCCTGCTGCTGCCGTTGATGGCTCTGCTACTGCCGATGTTGTCTCTGCTGCTGCCGATGTTGTCTTTGCTGCTGCCGATGTTGTCTCTGCTGTTGCCGATGTTGTCTCTTGCTGCTGCTGGTGTTGTCTCTGCTGCTGCTGATGTTGTCTCTGCTGCTGCTGATGTTGTCTGAATTGTTGCTAACGCCCTTGTTCTTTCTGCTTCGGGGATGGTGTGTGAATACCAGAAGCCGTCTGGACTGAAGTCTGGATCAAGGTCTGGAGGGTGTGTCCAGTTGGTGAAGTTAACGATGGCTTCGCTGTCGGCGGTGCCAAGATCAGGAACGAAGTCAAGAACGAAGACATTGTTCTTGAGGACCGCCTTGCCGATGTAGAGTCCTCCTCTCCCGTGATACAGCTTGAATTCTTGGGTGGTGCTGTCTGCTTCGAGGTGAATCCCTTTCGCCATTAGCTGACTGACGCTTAGTAAGTTGTAGCCGAGTCCCTCCGCGATTAGTACTTTTGACATCTGCAGTATAACATTTGTTTCCCTTGACTGAAGTTGAGCTACGCCTTGTCGTCGTGTTCGCTGGTTCTGATTGTTGGCGACTGTAATGACAACTTCGCGTTGAAGTTGGTGTTCTCGTTGAACGAAGCGTCCCGAGGAGCACATGTGCTGTCCGCAGCAACTGTCCAAGAACCATGTGTCCTTTCCGGATGGTTCGCTTTGGGCGATGGCGGCGTATGTCGGGTTCGGCTGAAGTGACTCGCGGCGGGGTGTGGTTTCGTCGAGTTGTTCTTTCGGTGAGTAGTGAGGTGGTGACTCAGTGATGCAGGAGTCACTCAGCTTTGCCTTGCAGCTGACGACGTTTCTTGCTCCTTGTGCAGGTTGTCCTGTTGAGGTCGCTGAGGCTTGAATCTGAGTCGTGGGATTTGCTTGCGTTGAGGCGATTTGGCTGCTTGAAGGTCGAAG